TGGACCCCTCAGTTCAGGAAAGACATTGAGGTGCTGGAGTGGGTCCAGAGAAGAGCAACCAGGCTGATGAAGGGACTTGAGCACAAGTCCTATGAGGAAAGGCTGAGGGAGCTGGGGGTGTTTAGTCTGGAGAAGAGGAGGCTCAGGGGTGACTTCATCACTCTCTACAACTACCTGAGAGGAGGTTATAGCCAGGTGGGGGTCAGTCTCTTCTCCCAGGCAATCAACAACAGGACAAGAGGGCACGGGCTTAAGCTCTGCCAGGGGAGGTTTAGGTTGGATATTCGGAAGAAGTTCTTTACAGAGAGAGTGATCAGGCATTGGAATGGGCTGCCCAGAGAGGTGGTGGATTCTCCATCCCTGGAGGTATTTAAGATGAGGTTGGATGTGGCACTGAGTGCCATGATCTAGTAATCACAGTGGGGTTGGATCAAGGGTTGGACTTGATGATCTCAGACGTCTCTTCCAACCCAGTTAATTCTATGATTCTATGATTCTATGAAAACATGTTCCTAAACTGAACCTTGAAAGACAGGTTAGCAGATGTCTCTGTTCTGACAAGTCCCTGTTTCAGTGAAGCCTGAGTTGCTTACAGAGGCATTGCCTTTCTTCACAAAGTAGTGTATTTTCAGTGGTGCAGCCTTGCTACCATCCCTGTCTCTGGCTGCTCTTTCACACCCCTGTATTGCAATTCACACTCTACCAGCTGTGCTGCCAGACCCATCCTCAGCATCCTGCTGTAAACCAGGAGTGAAAGCAGTAACCAAATCCAGGAACTGTGTTCACAGTGGCTTTACCTCAGAAGCCATAAAATCCTGCAGTGCTCTCAGAAGCACACTGTACCCAGGCTGAGTGCCTGTATCTGCAAGATGAGGGAAGATCGTTCAGGTTATGCTAATCTCATCCACTTCTGGTGAGAATCTAACACTCATTCAAAGTCTGAATAAAGACTATCTGAATTTAGCCTATATTTAACTCATGATAATGACAGCTGCTGTGTTCTGTAACAGTGTGCTCTGTCTATGGAGTGTTTTCCTTTCTATCTTTAGATGGTTGCAGTCTCTGTGTGTACAGAGCAAGCCTAAAGAATGGAGCTCGTTGTACTGTTTGATATAGACACATTCACAGACTGTTCATAAGATTCCTCATATATGTAAGATAAAAATGCTACTTTTATGGTTTTATGTCACCTTGAAATGCATATTTCATTTCTGTTGTGTCTGGAAAGCTTCACCAGGTGAAAAACTACTTACAAGAATTACCACCTTTTTAATTAGATTTTGAGTGTGTACTTGCTTTTCCCAGATGTGCTGGGAGAACTGATTCATCACTGGACCTAGAAATTGAATGCTTGTGATCAGTATATATAGTGAATCTTGTGGCCCTGTACACACCCATTTTCTAGGGAATCAGACTTGTATGCATGTAAGAAGAACAGAGTAGGAGCCAGGATCTGCCCCAGATTATTGAAGATGGGTCATACAGGAACAATCAGTAGCTGAGAAGATCGGGCTTGTGTGGGGGAAGCTTTGGTTTACATTTCTGACCATGTTGATATTTATTTACTTGTACCAAACATAATTAATCCAGTAGGACAGATGGCACAGACTAGTCAGTGCATGGTGTTTGGGATACCTCCTCTTATCCCAGGCAGCATCACTCTGCCAGTGCTTCCTTTTCCTAAAATGGTACATGAAAAGTTCCAGTTTTCACAAAGCACCTAGTCACAAATGAATAGTTATTCTCCCGGTTAGTTTCACACTGAAATTAGTGGCAACATTTTGAAATTCAAGATGAGTGGTGGCATGTGTCCAGCTCTCCTGCTGAAATCTTCTGCCAATACTGTGAGGGTAGCATGTTTTTGATAAGAGCAGGTCTCTTTCTAACTTTGTGGAGTTAAATTGTTCTTAAAATTCTAACATAATGCGTGGGCTGATCAGTGCAACAGCTAAATGTGGATTCTAAGGCCCTCATTTGTGCGGCTAATTAAGGTAGGTTTGGTGGGGCCCTGCACAGGTCGTGTCAGAGGCAGCAGAAGTGCTCTAGCACAACTCCTCTGGGAGAAATCCTCCTTTCATCTTTCCAACTATGGTGGGAGATGCCAGAGGCAAGCTGTCCCTTGTGTGGCATGGGCTCCATGCTCATGTTGGATAGTGCAAGAGACTTGTTAAGGAAATGCTTTGGGTGAAAAGACTGCTGAGCCAACAGAGAAATCTTCCTCTACCAGTGTCTGCACACTGCCTCTTACCTAGCTTCAAAAATATTCTAACCACAATGAAAGATAGTTGCCTTCAAATCCCATCCACCTCTACAGACAATGACAAAGGTTCAAGGATATCAGGAACTCTTGGTTGCCCTGACACTAGCCACGCACTAAGAGTGAATGGGATAAACAGAGGCAGTGGGATACACACAGAAGCAAAGTGCTGAGGCATATGAACATGGAAGCTTGATGCAGTGTACCATGCAGTTTCTTCCCAGTCTTTCTACAAGAAACTGGACTGTCCCAAATTGTCCTTGAGGAAAAATAATACAGGCAGCTAGTGAATTCCATCTTAGAGACTCCACGACAAGGCCCATGGGGCAGACCTAGCACTTATTTCCATTTCTGTTAATTGCTTTTCAAAACAACATGCCTTTTATGAGAAACTTGTCACAAGCTTTTTGGAAATTCAGTTGGTGATATCACTTAATCATTGATACATAGGTAGTGACCACTGAGCTAGCTCCAGAAGATTTGTCAGGCACACCACACAACATTATATTATGCTTTTAGTGTCTTTTTAACCTATGTCTGTTCCTTTTAGTTTCTTCCTAACTATTCTCTTAATTTTTATGTTCCTTCTTTAAAGGTTGTAGAAGGTTGTTCTATACCCACAAACATGCTGAATTTGAATGCACTAAGGAGAAAATTACAAAGTAAGATACAGGAGTTACATATTGAATTAAATTTTGTTAGTGCTCAGAATTAAATCAAGAACTGTTACTCCACTTGTGGGTTCATCTGATCAGATCCAAATATTTATGAAGCCTAACAATGTAAACACAATGTGAAAATAAATTATATAATTACTAAAATGATAATGATTATTATATTCTTCATACGTCAAATGTTATGTAAATAAAAATTTAAAGTGAAGCTATTGGTATTTAGTTCTTAAGATGCATGCATATTGTAAACTTTATCAGGAATATTTCAAATAGCTGAAACTCATTACTAAGAATAATGAAGGAAATTATGTATAACCCTGTCCACCAAATCACAAAAGTATAGATGTAATGGATTTATGAGAATCAAAATCAAAGGAATAAACATGCATCTTGGCTAAGCAAGAAGACCACAGATCTCTAAACTCCTTTGGAAGCTGACAAAGTACCAAGGAGAAAAACTAATAGTTTAGATGGCTATAAACAACAAGCAACTCAAGAAAAGGACGGAGTACTTGGAATACCAAGAGAACTCACATTATTTGCCAAAGGGCTATATTTTGCATGAAATATTAGTATCAGCATTCATCTGTAAATCTTAAAATACTTTGAGTGTGTATTATGCTTTAGCAGAGAGGTTGGACTAGATAAGATCCCTTCCAACCCCAACCATTCTGTGATTCTCTGATTAATCATAAACTATCATGATGACACTTTAAAGGTCTTTCCATATCACTAAGAAAGTCACTCAGCAGCAAATTAATCAAAGATTTTCTGACTCTCAATTCATATCATGACTTCAAGATTCTTGTTTTTCTTGGGCAGAAGCAGGTTGGAAGGTTCAGAAATTCCATTGAAGTGAAGTAAGTATAATAAAAAGGTAGGTAAAACAGAAACTAGGGATCTTGCTACTTCTGTTTTTGCAGAACTGAGGCACTTTTCAATAACCTTATTTTCATTTAATGAAAATACAGGCCCTTTCCAAGTGCTCCCCAGACAGGCATGTAGATGCTTACTCACCCATAATCACTAGTCACCTTTTTCCACATTTAGTCTGAGAGAAACTACTGATGGCTGGTCTGGGACACTCCACAGTCATTTAATCAAAATGGAAATTGCTCATACTCCAGTCTAATACTTAATTACTTCCTTTCAAAGACAGTTACAAGTAATTTGCTCTCATCTGTGGGAATGTTTTAGAAATAGATGCCTATTAAACTAACCAGCTTGGACAGCTTCTCATCCACTCAGTCCCTGGAAAGACTTATCTTCTGTTATGTCACCTCCAAGGGAAGCATCATGCAGGTCACTTCTGTATGTTCCACCTCAAAGAAGAATCCTTGAAGCGAACCACTGGCAAATCAGCAAAACAGCATTTGCCGGGTCTGTGGCACTGCTTGTGAATAAACTGCTTACAATGATACAGACTCAAAAGCAGAGGGTACTGGCAACGTAAAGGGAAATTGCATATGAGAACGTCTATACAAAAATTTAGGGTAGGCAAGGAGGTAAATACCAGAAAGACGATTTCAGTCACTGGCATTATAGCAGTTGTTTGTCATGGAGCTGCAGCTGTACTCCATCACATCTGCCTCCTTGCAGTGAAGACATATCACTCATCCATCTCTCCTCCCAAGTTCACATTCACAGCAGTAACCCTACTTTCCAAGTCTTTTAGGCTTTATTAGTCAGGACCTACTCCGCATTCCTGTTCCTCCAGAAGTTACACTGCCACTACCTTCTCTGTTTTCAGTGAATGGACATATGTGTCCAAAGTAATCTGTGGTGTTTTGAAGGTTGTTTTACAACCATTCCTTGTAAAGAACATAGCTTAGGAGATACATTACCCAGAGATATCCTCAGTAAGGAAATTCAGAGCAAGATCTATAACCCCTGCATCACCATCTAGAGAAGTCTGTTTCTCTCCTTAAGGAGGTCCTTAAGGGCATTAACCATAGTCTCAATTAGACATGTAAATATTTCATGGTGCCCAACATGTAAAAAGGGCTGCAGGTAATAGCAATAGAATTAAAAGCTATACAACACCAGCAAAAAACTGACAGTGAACTTACTCTGAAAACTTTTTCCACCCTTGCAATACCCTTCCCAAAGATGGTTCCAAGTTGGTCTCCAATCCCAGCCAGCAAGAAGCCAAACAGTGGAATCCCAAAGATGGCATACAAGATGCAGAAAACCTTGCCTCCAACAGTGCTTGGGGCCATCTTCCCATACCCTGAGGAGAAAAACAATTGTCAGACTCTCATAACTTATACACAGCTTTTTAGAAAAAACCTAACAGGATTTAAAAACTGCTCTTCCTGCAAGCATATCTGTAATTCCTATTTATAGATTTTCCATGGCATCATGTCACTTCCCAGGCCAGCTACTCCCTGTTATTCCATTCTTTTTAGCCTCAGTTACCCACATTTTCTATAGATTCAGACTATCTAAAATTGTTATTTGATTAATTAATCTAGCTTGACATCATGGCACAAAAATCTCTCCATGCTGGCCTAGTGCCTGCATGCTGCTGCTCCTCTTGGCTTGTGCCAATGGTTTCCTGATGGGAGTGTGATTCACCTGGAAAGAATCATTTTCAGTGGTTAGCTCATAATTTCCTAAGCCCCTCATCATACTGACCATTACACTGCAGCCTCCAAACTGTACCCACACTATGCAAATCTGCCCTTGAACTCTTTATTCAGTAGAGCATTATGACTCCAGTAGCCATAGTATATCTGTTAAAATGTTTCAGACAAAAAAACCAAGAATTGTGACAGTAATATTTGCAACTTTTTATTTAAGATCAGGTATCTTTATTGAAATGTTATAGATATTTGGATCCTAACTATACATAAGTACTAGAATATTAAAAATTATCACACAATCACAAATCACTGATAAAATAAAGCATCCAGAGAAGTGGAGATCTAAGAGGGTGTCTGGTCCTCATCCTGTTAGGTTGGTGACACTGTCACTGGATATATCTCTCTGTCATGGATGAAAGAACTATGCTGACACACACCACTGTGTGTCCCATAATCTACTGTCCTTTCCATGATCCCAGATCTCTCCTAATAGTAAAAAAAAAATCCAGGCTCCCCAGGTCACTGGACTGCAGTTGACCAGCTAGTCTGCTGAATTTCTGCCTAGGAGGAGCCCTAACAGGCCTCTCTGGTGGATAAACTAAAGTCATTTTCATGTCCTGAAAAAATACACAGACTTTATGCAGCCTATAGAAGTCTCATTCATGAGAGTTTAAAACAAATATGGGCAAAAATCCAAGGTCTTTTCAATATGTTATTTAAATAGCAGATGTCAGTGAATATACCTAAATAAACTATGCCTACATAGTGGCATTTATTTTAATGAGTAATTTAAAAGCTTGTCACTTGGGTCTTTTGAGTAAACAAATATTAAGAAAGGGTTTTCTTACGTTTGAATCAGAAATGTTTCCTTTCTTGACACCCACTGGTTTTATGCTACCATTAAAAATACATGGCAATGTAGCTTAATGTATGGAGGAACACAGGGAGGCTCTATACAATCGCTCTTTCCTCCTCACTCTGACAACAAAGAAAAGGCAGAGCCAAAGGCACAGAAGCCAGTTTGAGATGATCACCACAGCAAACCTTTTCCTTGACACAGGATTTGTTTTGTTGTATTACCTGCATAAAAAACCTGCAGAATTCAGTCAGATTCCCACACTTCAGTGAAGGGTTATGTGATTGTCAGGTTATTTGTCTGTACAGTCACAAGTGTGTGCATCACAGCTTTAATGCAGAATCACTTTATCCACTGTTTAAAGCAGAATAATACTCGAAGGCAAGGCAAATAAAGACTAACAATTTGCCATTGTTTCCAAATAATCAGATCTCTTGCTATGACAGCACTGAGATCAAGCTTAAAATTGTAAAACTACTGTATAATTATTAGGGGACTAACTTTATCATCAGTGTTATTGGTTTATTTTCTTCTTCCTTCAGACTATCCTCTGAAATCCCAGCTGGTTGAACACTCTTCAAGAGAGGAAGTGGCTTACAGAGGAGAGAATAAAAACCTAAGGCTAACAATCAGAGACCAAGAGACTTATTACATGGGACACAATGCATGGGGAGACAGATGATAAGGGCATGAATTATCTTAGTGAAATTAGCAGTTCAAGAAGAGTGAATAGAGCAGTTCAGTATACCCCTTCATTTAAAATAGAAAAGTGCATTAATAGGTCAAGGCCATGAATTCTGGAAATGAAAAAAAGGTGGATTTTTTTACACAACTTATAATTGGTGGAATTCCTTCAAATTATTAATATGAAAGCGAGTAAGGATTTTTAAAAGGATGTAATACTTACGGGAATATATTTCCAGTTACAGGGAGTAGGGTATGAGAAGAATGCTGATATTAAACTTCAGAGCATAGGCCAAAATTAGCTGATGTACTTAGGAAGAAAGTTACCCTTATGGGCAAATTCATCTATAATATAAAAATTCAAATTCCTAACAACCATATAATAGTTATTTCACTGGGTACTGCCTCTTGATCTTTTTAGTAAAAACTGAGACTGTCTGCATCGACATCAAGAACAGGGTTATAAAGCCTGCATCATTATTACCTGCTTTCAGTTTAACATTGCTGTTCTATCATAATTGTGTTAACTGTTTCTGACACTTCCCTGGAGACCCAATGCCCTTGGCACATAGCAGAGGCATGCCTTCTGCAAACTGAGAGGAATATGGTTCAGCTACTTTATTTCTTTGTGGTCTACCTTCCTCAAATTTATTTCATTATCCAGGTCTCAGTGTGATTATGTATTTTAAAAAATAAACATACCTATAGTTGTGATGACTGTTCCAGCAAAGAAAAAGGCACCTCCGAGGTCCCAATGACTGCTGGTGTTAGAGGAAGGTCCTACAGGACTGACTCCTGCATTATCAGCATCAACAGCATGCTGCAAAGAGACAACAAATCAGCCTTATGCATGCCTCACTGTATCCTGTGCAAGTTGGTATAGGCTACAAAGGGAAATTTCTAGGACCATGGAAACAGTTTAGGTTTAAACTTGTTAATACGTGGTCCAAGTATAGTAGCATCTTCTGTACACAAAAGTTGAATATATGACTGAATAGACATTAAGGTGGAAGAAAGATACAATGCATAAACAAATGACAAAAGATACAAAGCAGTTGAGAAATAGAGGACTGACACCACAAATTGATTCATAAATACCATTCTTGACACAAGTACTGCCAAAGGAAAAATTCCCCAATGGGAACAGCTGATGTTAGAAGCAACTAGAAGGGTGGTAAATACAAATAACGTTTGTGAAGTCAACTGAAGCTAGTCAGTCCAAGGATTTTAATTCCCAGACAATTAATAATTGATTAATTTATGTTTCATGCTAACTAGAGAAAAAATGTTGGGGAGATAGATACAGATATATATATATATATAATATCCCATTTGAAATGAACAAATAAGATAGCTATGGAGATATCATGAAACAACTTTGTTATCAGCTCAAACTTCCCAGTTGCCACACTGGACAGGATCACATGTCCACAAATACAGCATGACACAGAGACTCCCGGCCAGTGCTTGAATGAACAGTATGCTGAACAGAACTTGAAGCATCTATGCTGTCACTGTCCCATGTCTCATATAGCACTGAATCAAACCAGGCAGAAATACCAGCCTGCTGAATGTTTGCTTGGGAATTTCTAAAAATGCACCATATTTTATCATGGGGACATTCGCATTTACTTTTCATTATAGTTTCACAGTCTAAAGGAAGATAGAACTAAACACATCAGTCTCCAAAGCACAGAAATAAATCTCTCATCAGCATCTGACATATTCATCTGAATTGCTCCAAGTTCCCCTCTGAGATGCCCTTTGGCACATATTCCCTAGTTGCTTGTAGATCTCATGCAAGTTACTGTCCATCATAGAGAAATTCAGACCTTACTCCAGAACTACAGCTAAAATTACTGCCTTTATCCTTCACGAATGTTCCCAACTAAGTTTAATTTCCACAAAACCACTGCAAAGGAACCAAGTTTCTCTCCTTCTGCCTCTTAACATTTCCAGCTCTTTGCCCTTCTCCCATTCTGCTCCAACCTCACACCATGTGGCTGTTATCACGCTACTTGCACTATTGCCAGATCTTTTCCTCTTCTCTCACTCTAGTATTTGCTCCACCAGTCTTTAGCCTTGGTAGTTTCAGTGAACTTCTTGCTGGGCTCAACAGGAGAAGCAAAATGCTGCCTCTTACATTCTCTCTTTGTCCACACAGAATTCCCACCTATCAATACAGGTTTGTTTTTACTTTTTCCTTTTTTTTAACCACTTCTCTTTTCACTCTGACTTATGATCTATAAATTGTCACTGTGATTTTATATTTCTCTTTTTTCTATACAGTCCATGTGCAAAACAAGGGTAACCATTCTGTTTTACCATTGTCTCACTTCTCACCTGTTTGTGTCTATGTTTTCTCTCCTGATCTTCTCTATAACCTCACATTCTCTTGAGGGGTTAGCACTGACATCCATCTAACACCACTTCTCTCCTTAGCCTTTATGATTCACTTTTCATTAGCCTCTTCCCTCAGATGGCTTATTTACCACTTTTTTTTCTTTTCTTCCCCTTCCATTTTGCACTTTTTCTCACTCATTTTTTGCCCGTATTTTCAACTGATTTCATGCTCATAAATATTCCTCTACTGATTTTTTCAGCTTGGGCTAGTTTCAGCTAATCTACTTCTAGTTTTTAGCTATTACTCACACTACTCCACAAAAAGAGAAAGGAGTGGGAGAAGAGGCACATGGGCAAGAACAGAGACAGCTATATCTGAAGAGACCAGTATGGGGCAGCCTTTTTTAAAAGCAGAGTGGTTACATGCCAGGCTAACCTGATTGTGAAACTACAGCACAAGCAAGCTCCAGGCTGGACTGGTTGCATTTCACATGGGCAGAAAGCCAGGGTTCCTCAGGCACCTGTCCATACCTCAAGAAACAAGGATATAGAGAAAGGAAGTGTTTAGCACCAAACCCTTCGAAAGGGCTTCTGTACCAGTTGCTGACATATTGCAGGTGGTGTTAAAGCAGAGATCATTTGTTGGTTTATGCAGAAGAGCATAAATCAGCATAACAGACAGGTTGCCTGTTTAAATAGGCCATGACACACTGTCAGCTACCCTGGCATGTTTCTTCTGCCAAGGAATGCTGCTTGCCTTCCCTTTCAGTGAGTGAATGTCAGCAAGCTAATTACACTTCAATTGCATTTGAGTTTATGCAGTTTAGCAAGTCTATTAGGGCCAAACACTAACCCCTGAAGTGAAGGAGTGTCCCGTTGCCTTAGATAGCTTTGAGATTCTCAGGCTCCCCTTTCATCCTGAACAAATTCATTTTTTCTTTAAAGTTTGACTGACATCATTGATTTATAAATATCCAACTATTCCAATGCTGTATTTTAATACATAGCATTTTGCATAGAGCGATGGAGGACAGAAAGAAAACAACAAGACAAGATCAGTCTAGAGTTAACAGCACTTTAACAGTTTCAGGTCATTGACTAGTAAAGGATGCCTTACTACTACCACCACAAGTCCACCTACACAGAAGTATCCTACGGGATGAAAATTGACACAAAACTCAAACAAGCTAGTGACACTGCCACTAGCAAGACTCTCCCATGAAATTTTACAGCAGTTTCCAATCTGTGAAATTTCAGATAGGCTTTGCAGCAATGACCTGAAGAGCTGCATCCTCAAGTTATCTTGGAGAAAGGGAAAAAACTATTTCCAGAGTGCTAACCACTCTGTTGACAAACCTCACATATTTAAGACATTTTAAACTAGTAGTTTCAGCTATTTTTATAACTGAAGTATCATTGAAAGTAACAGGTCATCAAAGTATCCAAAGCTGTTTCACACTTACTCCTCTCCTGATCACTTCTTCCTTCTCAAGAGGAGCTACAAGCACAGTACACAAGTACACAATATTTTTTCAGTATATTTTATTAATTGAAAGAGCAATCTTCTTTAATGAATAACTACCAACCTAGGGTAATTCTTCTTCTGAAATGCCACCCATTCAGGGAAGGCAATAACTTGAAATACCTCAAAGGGATGAAAATGTTTTCCTTGCTGTTCAAGCACTGAGTGTATGCTAAAGCCACCAGACAGGTAGGAGTGTAGGAAATGAAAAACTACCAAAGTAAATGCAAGTACTCAATGTTACTTGTTTTTAAAAACATGTATTTCTGATCACAATTTTCAGTTTGATTCCCTGTCATTGTACAGATGTGTATTTTACTCTTGGCCCCTTTGGTATCAGCACACTACAGTTCTTCTGTAACCAAAAAGACATGGTCTGCATGGGACTGAAGGCAAATCTGCCAGCAAAAGCCCAGCATTTGTGGTGATACTGGGACAATTGACTCCTGTATTCCCAAAGAGAATGCAATCCAATTCCATATCAATGTGGAACAGGCTTTATCAATTCCACTTACTGATATTCAGGCAGAAATATTTAAATACTTTTACATGAGGAATGGCCCCATATTGGGCTGCTTAGTTGTTAATATATAGGACTCAAAGCCCAGAGAAAGGTACAGTGAATGCTAATCTGTATCACAGATAGGTGTTATCAACAAGAGTTGTCCCCCACAACAAAAGGACACAATAGTATTTCCTCTCAACGGATATTTAAACAATGATAATCCTCTTACACCAAACAAAAACTACTAGGATTTCGCTGTCCCTGGCCCACAGCAACATACAAATGTTGGACTCCAGCTTGCTGCAGATCTGCCCTGCCCAGCCACAGGCTCTGTTGAGTTGGGGCCTGATCTGCAGGCTGGTGTCCTGGCCCAGCCTCAGCCTGTCCCCATCCCAGGGGAGGCATCTCATAGTCTGGACTTGGGGATGTCCCTGACTGCTCACAGCCAGCCATCCTCCCTGGCTGGCAGTGGTGGGGTCCACAGCTGCCAGCTCCCTGTCACCTGGGGTGTAGGTGGTCCTCACTGTGCCCAGATACCCACAAATGTGATCTTCCTTGGTGTGTGAGTACATGCCAGCTTTCACTAATATATTAGACACAATCTTACATATTATTTAGATCACTAAATAAGATGGATATATCAAGAAAAAGTCTAGAGTTATGTCCATAGGCAACAAGATAGTTCAGAGCTAGTGCAGCTGATGAGGGGACAGAAACCTTCCCTGGGAAGAAAGGTCTGGTTCATTTGTTCATGTTTCCATAATTCCTCTAGTAAGATCCCAAGCACGAAGGCAAATCTTTTCCAAGGACAAGTATAATAGCCTTCTTGAGCGCTGAGCCACTCAAAGGATGTACCTACTCTATGCTTAATCAAGGATAGGAATTTAATAAGAAAAGATGATTCTTGCCATCTTTTTATTTTTTCTCTTAATTCCTCTCCACAGATCATGCTAATCCAATTATGATTATCTCCTTCCACAATTCTTTTCCAAGCATATTCCTGTCAAGCATACAAAAAGTTGTTTCAATTGCCTTTCATGCTCAGATGTTTCTCTATTAGGATTATTAAGATGCTTCTCATTAGCAAGAAGCTTTTAATAACTCATTCCTTAATAACTTTTCTCTATACACCCTACCTCTCTAGTTATTCTCACCACCCCTCAAACAGTGATTAAAGACTTCTTATTATAAATTCCCATTTATTCACTTTTCCCCAACAGCATTTTTGAAGGACAAAGGCCAGTAATTTTTGTTCAGGCATAATCAAAAGTAATAAGCTTTCAAAGCCCATTCCTTAAATACTTTTGCCTATCCCATAAAGGTCTTTAAGTGACAATCAGCCAAAGTGATCTACCTACACTTACAGTGATTTGATTGTCATGCATGCACTGTGTTTGAGGGCAGACCTACAGCATTCAACAAGCAATATAAACAGAGATCTAAGTCAAAAGGGTTTAGCTCCCTGCAAACTTCTCAGCTAAGTTTTGGAAGCAGCATAGGTATAGGACAGCTGCAGACTTGTGCAGCATCCTAGGTTCAGTCGGTCTCCTCTACAACTGGAGTAGCTCTGGACTGAAGTTAAAAACTAGGGTGCCTGCACCAAGTAGGACAGGATCCAAGAGATATATCTTTTTATTCATATCCTTTTAGGAGGAATAAGGTAAAATAAAGGCAACGGGAAGAAGAGAAGCTGGGACAAGACAACCTTCAGAAGCACAGCAGAAGGTTCAATAATCAGGTATTTACCACTGTTTTTTTCACGGTTCAAATAGCCTTTTCCTGTCTCCAGCAACAGGCAGCTCTTCCCCATCATTAATTCAAAGCACTTTTTTTTCCCCCTGCTCTATTTAGAGCTTTCTTCTAGCACATGAAAGTTCTTTTCATTTTACATGGAAACATCCTTAAAAGAGAAGCTGGCTTACGACATTAGAGAACCAAGCAAGCAGCTGCAAACTGAAACATCTTTACAGGATGTTCCCTTTCTTGCTTACCTTCAGGGCAAAACTAGTTCAGAACACTAATCAAAAGTGCCTATCCAAAATACGAACTCTTACTAATATAATTAGCCAGTAAAGCCTGACTAGCTTATTTCCAGCTCTGCTTCATTTCAGCTTACAGTCTAGCTCTAATGAGTTGCTGTTGTCATTAGTGGACATTGATAATGTGACTTAGTTCCCAGGTGGGTAATACTTTTTATATATATCTTATTATCACTCACACTCCTAAATTAAACCCTGGCAGACAAGGAAAAAGAAAGCTGCCTACCGATAACATAAGTCACTTCTTACAGTAGCAAACCACTCTTATCTTGCATCATTTTGCTGGGCTCATTATGAAAGCAGGGAAGCTTATGGGAGTTTTCACTCATACACAGTGCACAGGATACATAGAAACAGAATATGAATACCTTTATCAGGTCCACAGGAATTGCTTTGCCAAAACACCATGATAGTTTTCCTGCCTCCCTTAATGATAGATAACATCTCAAGTCTCGGGAGGCATAGCCTCGTCATTATAATGCACTGTGCATTATTGCAAAGGTAAGGTGAGTTGATTTCGACCCCAGTTACTAATAAGCTTCTTTTATGACATATAAGAACAAAAGAAAGGTTTTTAGTATGTTAGCAAATGTACCTACCAATGTTATTTTTCTTTTCAACTCTATGTCCAGTCACCTGAGTCCTGTTATCTTCTGCTAGTTGATCTAAGAGGTACAATACAGCTAAATGTACTTAAAGCATCTGAAGTTTTATTGTCTTTTAGCATATTCTAGGTTTTGGTTCTCTCCAACACAAAAGTGTTGATATAGAACACAGAGTTTCGTAATTTTCTTAATCCAGTATTCACTATTTTCCAAGCTGTAGATCACATAAGGCATTAAATAGTGCACTTGCTTCACTGCAACAAATATGTTCAGTTGTGAAAATGGGCTTTAAAAATGTGCAGTTAAGAACTTCCACTTCAGGAGACCTTGAACTGCACTGTGAAATACTTGGTACTGTTAAGAAAAAGTTACCCGTCATTGTGTTAGTATTAGACAGACCTGAACCAAAACTCAAGAGACAAATACAAACTTAAAATACTTTGAATCTTCCTAGGGATTTGCACTGCTTTCATCACTGTATTACCTCTGAAGTCTATGAATGAACTTCCAATTGGAAGTGAACAGACTCAGCAATTCACAGTTGTGCTACCAGTGCTAATACACGCAATGGGTTATTGGACATAAAGATGGAAAGGATGTCTCATCACCACTAAATTTCAGCAGCTTTCTCATACAGTGCTGAACATCTTCCTCAAAGGTATTCCAAAGAAGAAACCTTTCAAATTTAGGCAAAGGTATAAATTTTTCTATCATTAGTTTTGTAAGGACCGTGATATTCCTTTCCTTTTCTTATAAAAAATTGAAAGCCATCCCCACAGTAAAATAATACAAGTTATTTCTAAAGTCTCCCTTTTTGTATTTTTCCATATTCTCCAAAGCACAGAGGTGAATCAAAACAGTCACTCTAGAGAGTATGGTCTGTGTTCATCTAAAGGCTTTCAGGTAGTCAAATAACATTAATTATGAATAGTTCCCCTAGTGATAGCCAGGTGCTGACTGCACACAGCACAGCAGCCAGGACTCATGGAGGTTGCCACATCAGTCTGAACTCACAGTTGTAAAGCCAAATGCAGCATTTGGTGCAATGCAGAAATGGACTGTGCCAGCCAGGGGAATGTCAGTTCTGAGATCATCCACATGAAGACATTAAACACAGTGTTAACCCCCTGACATTATCTTCAAGCCGTGGTTCACTGTTCTTTTGTGCAAGTCAGTTACAACTACGAGTTTTCTGCATCATCACACAATTACATTCCTGGAGTCAGTTTCACCCCTAGACATACAGAAGAATCCAAAGAAACTTTTTCTTTATTGACAAATCTGTTTCAATATTTCACATTACTTGGCTTTAAGACATTCACATGCTAAGCTGCTCAGGCCATTTTATTTACCTTTGCAAAATGACTTCCAGTTACCCAGTGTAATGCCTGAGGACATACTGGAATCTCAGGAGATTATAAGATTTGTTCAGCATATCTGCCTTCTAATGACACAGTATACCTGTCCTTTATTTTAGTGTCACCACTTTTGAGGTGAAAGAAGGAAAAATATTGTGTAAAAGAAAGAATCAGTATTGCTACATGGCTTAGGCTAGACAATAAGGACTGTTTAGAAATCTCAGTGCACAGTCATATGCAGAACTCCAACCTGCTGAGGTGCTTTGCTTGTTGTACCTTGTGTGAGTTCTGCTTTCTGCTAGGAAAGAAAGCATTTTGCATATCTTTTACTAGTGACATTCCCATTAAGGGAATACAAATTTCTTGCTTTTAGTTTTTTTAAAATATTCTTTAATTAACTAGCATATATTATCCAGTATCGCTGAAAAATATCCAATATACAATATCCTTGAACCTTGGCAGCCTAACATGTTCACCAGTCCTTTGCAGCCACATGAAGGATGTGATCTAAGCCAGCCCTGATTCAAAACCTGTATGGACACAGCAGAGCTTATAAATTTCATTCACATAGGTGGGTTGATAGGCACAGAATCCAGGAGAGAGCTCTGTGTTCTTTCAAACAGCCTGAAACCACAACAGAGTTCTGGTGCAACACCCCAGAGGGAAACACACTGTGCTCTTGGAAGACTCAGACACAACTTCAGATCTGAGAGATGAGTATGAAGTTCAACTTTGGAATATATTCCTTAGGTGTCTCACATTTCTTATCTAATTTTTATTTATTCCAGGCTAACTGATAGGTTTCTACATGGAATCCTAGAAGATACTTTTCAGAAGTATTGTAAGATCCCTAATACTTTCCTTGTCTAGGGTTTTAATCAATGAAAGATAAATCTATCCTTGAAAGACTTTTTGTGCATGTTACTAGATTTTCCACTTATCTTTGCATACTTGATATTTATTTCCTTAAAAATTCCATAGCTTTTAAATTACAAGTATTGTCTATTTTTAATGGTATACTTCATCATCCTTCATTTATTAAAAAGTCACAATAGTAAACTTGTAAATTAATATACAAATAAGTTCAGAATTCTTAGCTGAATATTTATTTAAAAATTCCCACCTATAATTTTCTGTTTGCTCTTCCAGTTGTTGTGTTTAATTTAGAGGAAGAATTAGGAACTTAACACCTTTTGAAAATTTACAGAGATGATAGGCAAATGTCTTGCAAATTTGTCACCTGTGACAAAAACTTCTTCCAGATACTAAATTCTGCTTTTCTTTATTCTAGTAAATACAAGTACCAATCTCTCCACTTATATGAACAGTTACAGGACTCAAGCAGACAGCATGAAGCTGAGTTGGGAGTGGTTGAGGCTAGGTGTCAAGAAAATGTTTTTCACCCAGAGGATAGTTGAGCACTGGAGCAAGCTCCCCAGGGAAGCAATCACAGCACCAATCCCCATGGAGTTCAAGAAGTGTTTGGACAAGGTTTTCAGGCATATGGTGTTATTTTGAGGATGTTCTGCATACAGCCAGGAGTTGGACTCCATGATCCTGATGGCTCCCTTCCAATTCAGCTCATTCTATGATTCTATATTTACAATGTATTGGAGACATAATTTCTGTTTCTCAGACCTTAAAATGACTGGGAAAGAGTCTGCCCATTCCAAGGGCTCTGTGAACATTTCTGTTACCCATGAACTCAGCTGAGCAATGAACCACCAAAAGCTGTTTATCCTAACTTCCAAGAAGTACTGTCTTCTTCACGTGGCCTACCTGAATTAACGTCTCCAGCTCTATCTCATTTACACACGTGTGCTTCCGAAGAAAGTCAGCCTTCTCCAGCGCGATTGTGTTCTTCTGCATACTTTCGAAGGGCTGCTCCAGGGAATGGAAGACGAGTCCTCCCGACACCAGGTAAACTAACACCACAACAAAGATGACCAACACTGTTTTCCAATTCATGACTGTCTGCAGGCCTTGAGAAGGGGCTTCCATGGCGGCAAAAAAAGTGGCTCGTGAGGAAATAGTGAATTGTGGAGATGGCTGTTGCCCGTTAGTTTTGGGCTCGGGCTCACAAGCTGGCACTGCTGAGGGAACAGCCACTGAAACACAAAGCAAAAGATCTATTAAAAATCCCTTCGGGTATGACCTTGATCTTCATATATAATTTTCCTCAATACAATTTTCAAGACTCTCACATAACCATGGTCTTCACATAGATATAATTCACAGATTCTTCTCATCAGAAAGGTTCAATGTCTGCTTTGTTCATCCATACACCAGCCACCTCAAGGGGTTGTTTCACCCATTACCTCTAGAACTGGACAGTCCAGATATATGTGCAAAAATATCAGAAATATGCCAAAACCATGTATTAAAAAAAAATATGAAAATTTTGACAAGTTAGGATATATATTACACATGGTGGTGTCTGGTGAGGGAACCTGGCAGTGATTTATGTCCTTAAATCATATTACTAATAGTATTAATAGTGCTAAAAAATTGAGCTGTTAATGATCAGTGATCACTACCTGACCTGGTATTGACAGAAACAGAAAATGCATTGCAAACCAGTATGCTATTTGGCTCGCTAACATAAATAAGCCCATATTATTTACACGGATTCACAAAACTATCACTTCTAAAAATGTTCTTAAAGCCTGGAAGCTTCACAAATTTTAGCATAAATCATGTGTCAGCCAAAGCATACTAGATATCTGAGGTCAAATTTACATGCCAAGCATAAATATGGGCCTCTCAGCTTGGGACTGAGACGTTTTACAGCCCAGATGACCTCAGTAGTACATCAGAGCTAATAAACCTGGACCTCTAATCAGACTTAATAGCCTGATCACTGTATCAAGCTACCAAGGCATCCAAATCAAAGCTGGGTCCCCCCCAAATAATTCAGGTGTCTCAGCATCACACTTCCCCACTCTCTGTTGCTGGTGTTAGCAATGGCAGGATTAGGCCAGGTTCCTCAGCATCCACTAGTTTAATGGCACCAAATGTAGGCTTTGAAGATGCTCTATTCATTTTAAACCAAATTCCTGTGTAATCTTACCATGGTGCAGCTGTCACTGGTCTGTAATTTCTTTGAAACCAGATTAATTTATTGAATATCAGACCTAAATCAGATTACAATTAAAATACAGTGACTTTAGATGCATTCTCTGAACTTATTCATAATGTGTCTTGCTGTTTTGCTTAGAAATTAAAGCACAAAGATATACAACATCCCATGGCAGTGGCATCATAAACTGATTCTATGTAATTTCAACACAAAACATGATTACACCTTGAGTCTGAAGTGAGCTACAAGTCTTTCCCAATAGAAACCATTTTATGATACTGAGAAATTTAAGAACTCAGCTGTTTACTACAGACATGTTTTCCTAGAAGTACATCTCTGAAGCATTGCATGGAGTATAGAGCTTCCAGCTTACTTGATAAACAACAAAACACATAAATCTATAATTGCTTTACTATTAATATTTCTTTTCATACGTGACATGGAGGCTCCAGATACCAAATAGATTAGAAAGAGTCCAGGATCAGAAGAAAAACTTCTGTGCTTGATTCTTTTTTTGTGTATCTCAATTTTCCAACACTCTGTGGTACAGCTGCTCAGTTGACCCATCGAAAGGTCATTATGGTTCCCAACACTTATCAGCCAGGATGGAGTAATACTAAACTTAAAAGGGTATTTTCACTTATCTCCAGATGCATTTCATGTAAGTTTTAATAACTTGGAGTGGCAACAGGGAGAAGACTGACAGTGTTAGAAAGAAGTCACATTTTTTGTAAGATATCAATATATTTATTCTCTAAATCTCCTGAAAGTATTATTGTAATAGATACAGTGAGTTTCAGCAGGAAATACCAGGAAAGTATTCAGAAGGAACATAAAATAGTGAGGTTGTGTGAAGCAGTTAGAACCTCTCTTCCTCTGCAGGCAAATATCTTAAATCTAAGTTACAACATCACCTTACTGAACTAAATAAATATGAGTACTCACCAAAGTGGCTCAGCTGATGTAACTGTGTAACATAGCTTCCATGAATTCCATGGAATTCAATCAATTTCCATTAGTTAGAGCCAATAACTACTGTGTATATTGTGAATCAACACAAAATCTTCAAGCCTGAGGGCTGATTTTGCACACTTGAGATTACTCAGCAAAATAGACTCAGGATTCAAGGCTCATAGGACAAGAAGAGAGCAGAATTTATGCGAGAGAAAGAGCATGCTACGATTTTTTTAAGTAGCTATCCACCTTACCACAACTGGCATAATCCAGGCTGGGTGAGCCTTTCAGGGGAAAGAGATGCCTGCCTTTGATATCCCACAAATGTTAATCAAGAGGATGGAATTCAAGAGCTGGTTGCATGAAAACAGCTTTTGTGAGTTTTCTTTTCCTTACTGCTAGTATAAATGTTGTTTCTTATTCAAATCATGTTTTTGGCAAAGTGTTAATAAAAGCTTTACAGTAAAATCATGGCCTGTTTGATTCTGTCTTCTTAAGAAAATGTGTTGTACTGATTTAAGAACAAGATGGACAGTTCAGGGTAGAGAATGTAAAATGTTCTTATAAATATTTTCTCACTTAGCTCAGTGGATTACTGTGTTCAGTTTGCTGATCTCTAAAATAAAAGACTTTTCCGAAGAACTGTGTTTGACTTTCATTTTCTACTAGTAATAGCTACCTTAAGTGAATGTAGAACTGTTGATCCTGATGTATTTTATATTATATAAACAAATATGGGGGATGACTCTACTAATGCAGCGAGTTAAGCAACTGATGTATAACAGAAATGGTCTTCTTACAAAGCTGATGCACAAGACACAACTGCAGCCAATACTCAGAGATTTTAAGCACCAGTTAGGTGCTGGAAAAACAGTGTAGCTACTCCATCTAGCAGCTCTCCCACTCTCTACAACAGGACAGTGGGGTCAGCGATTTAAGCACATGGTAAAAAGTCAGAAATCCTGATTTCTAATCTCAACACTGCTTCTGTGAAACAGTGCTCTCACAAAAGAGCTGCCATTTTTCTTTAAACCATGGTTTCATCAACTGCAAAGAGATAAAACAGTACTTACTTTTCTAGTAAAAGTGTCCTGGAAGAGTCCATATCTGAACGTAAAACATAAACGTCCAGAAATTTACCAAGTTTTTTTTTTTTAGTTTTACTAAAATCAAAGAATGGACTACAGTGGCAATTCAACAATATGAAGAGGTATGCAAACAGTTTAAAAAAATAAAGGCATACATAAATTCTTGGATTTGTAGAAATGGTTTAGACATATTTACAATAAATGCACAACAATCCCTACTTCACTTTTTCATGTTTTTTCAAAACACGCTGGTGTCAGAACAGCCTTTTCCCAGAAGAGTCTCATCCATATGTTTTTGTTAAATCATATCAAAGAAGACTTAATCTATCTCAGTGAAAGTGATGATGAATCTCTACTCACATGCATGCACCATATCAGCAGATGGGTAATTTTAAAGGAACAGGAACCCTCAAATTAACACACTAGTGTTTCCAAACAGGCCTTATTCCAGTAAAAGGATGTCAGAGGGGAAAGAGAGGTGAGTTCCTGATTATTTGGATAAGCTTCAAAATAAAGCAACTGAAGACATTGATGTTACAAGTGAAATTGCCATGTTAGGATCTGCACACTTGTTCACATCCAAGATCACCACCTGTACTGGCTAACAGCAAAGACAGGGCTCCCACTGGTATGTGAGGAGCTCAAATACCTGACAATTCTGTTAATATTGATGAGAATTAAGGAAGCAAAACTTTCACTCACTTTTGAGTTGACAAGGGCAAACTGGTTATAGTTGTAGGTGGTCTCCTTGTAAGATGAGCAGAAGGCCCGATATGTCGACCAGGCCCAGACCATAGGGGTGTCTGGTGCCTCCCGGAGCCTGGGTTACGGGCGCCTCTAGGACACTTCTCAGCCTGGTGTGGCCCTCAGACTACTGCTCATTCCTGATCTTCCACACAGGGGTTGAGGAAGTCACCACACATGGTCTGAGGGTAATCAAAAAGGACTTCTGGGCCTTCAGACGTTTGGCCCGGGAATCTGGAGGATGACTTATAGTCTCCTCTGTAGTTACAGTTGAAGGCAGCAACATGGGAAGAAACGGACAGACTGAGTCTATGGTTCCATGGCTGGTGTCACCAAAACCAACATTTTGGAGGTTTAGACAACAAAACGGCCTCCGCAGCACCAGGCATGTCGGCATCAGACAGGATTCACTTTTCTCAGCAAGAGAGAGAGGGGGGGTCTTTGCTTGGGAACTAGCAAGGCTCACAGGCAGAGCTTTAAAATAGATGTTAGTGAGGAGGGAGTCAATATCAGGCTCGACCCTGGCAAGCTGTGGGATGATATGCAAATAGACAGAGAGACAGGGTGCTGGTGAGGACACTTTGTCAGTCACTCCAAACTCTGCTAGGCACATTGGAGCACACCAGAAGCCTCAGGGAGATAAGCCAGTGAGTTCTGAGGTAACAGAAGCCACAGGAAAACACCAGGGAAATATATCCAAGGAATAATGGGGTGTTCCTCTAGGAAGGTGACATACACACAGAGAAGCCCAGCAATCACCAGGAGCAAGATGTTGGGCAAGGAAGGCAAGAGACTGGCATAGCTGAGGCTAAGTAGGGAACTGCTGGTCAAACCAAAGGTAAAGAAGCAAATGAACAGACAGTGGAGACGAGGACAAGTTACCTGGGAAGAGTATAGAGATGAAGGTTAGTTGTGTAGTGATGGGGTGAGGAAGGCCAAGGCATTTCTGTGTGTGGGAAGATCATGGAACAGATCCTCCTAGAAGCTATGCTATGGCACATGGAGGACAAGAGGGTGATTTGGGACAGCCAGCACAGCTTCATCAAGGGAAAATCCTGTCTGACAAACCCAGTGACCTTCTATGATGGAGTGAGTAGAACAGTGGCCAAGGGAAGGGCTACAGATGTTATTTATCTGCACTTCTGTAAAGCCTTTGACACACAACATTCTTCTCTCTAGATTGGAGAGACATGGATTCCAAGGATGGACTGTTAGATGGATAAGAAATTGGTTAGGCAGTCAT